AGTGCCTTGGTAATGGCGAATTCGTAAGGATCTATTGATTGCATTATAAACATTTTCATTTATTTGTTAAACATACAAATACATTACAACCCGGTCCTATGGATGCTAGAAGCGCGAATTCATATAAGGTGGTGTTACCGGAAAATGAATAAATAAATTATGTGTATATCAGAAAATTAATAAGATGAAATGAAATTATGGTTTGATTTTTAACCAAACCTATGTATGTAACTCAATCGCCTAATGGTTTGCCGAACCGTAAACATATGTTTACACATCCAATTTCGTGAGTAGGTACCTGGTTACTCACACCTTTTTTAAGAAGTTTCACTTCTATCATGTGTACGGTGTTACACACGCACTTTTTTATTTTACAAATATAAGGTTCTTAGCTTACACCGCTGTTTTTGTTTGCACATGTAAATCAGCTGATCGTTTGACACTTTTCACGAACTTATAGGGAAAAACTCCGGACTTACAGGTCTCTTCTGCACGTTACCGAAGATTTTGTGACCGGAAAATTTTATTACCAAAAAATGTTACCACTTCTTGTCACCGCGATTCTAGGTACGTTGGTAATGCAGTGAAAATATTCAGCAATTCAGCTATGAAGATTTGTGGAAACTCCTGTATTGCATATTTCACGGGGCACGAGAGCACAGAATGCGAAAAAGGTTTAAAAATTGACAGACACTTTAATTACCGGTAGCAAAATTTATGTTACCAGCGCAGAATACTACACAGTTACAGGTCTATTCTGCACGTTACCGATGATTTTGTAACCGGAAAATTTTATTACCAAAAAATGTTACCAGTTCTTGCCACCGCGATTCTAGGTACGTTGGTAATGCAGTAAAAATATTCAGCAATTCAGCTATGAAGAATTGTGCAATTTCTGGCATTGCATATTTCACGGGGGCAATACTTTGTTACCAGCTTATGAGATGGTAACAAAAATTGCCGGTTACAAGAGTACACAGAATGCGAAAAAGGTTTAAAATTTGACAGGAACTTTATTTACCCGGTTACAAACTTTTCATTACCAGCGCAGAATAGACCTGTTAGTCTCTGAAAAGTGTTCCCATGTGAAGGTTTTATGTCAATAGGAACGACTGCCTGTAAGTTCTGACTAAATCCTGTAACAAGACTGCTATTGGAACATACTATATTTGAAGGACCGCGACGATAACCTAAATTCGCCAGTAACACCTTGTATAATGTTACGATTATCCTTCAAACCTTGAGGGATTTCCTAAATATCATCCGGCTATCGCTGGATTGTTAAAGAAATGCTAACGATGACCAAATTGTAGTACAATTAACTTTATTGTACAACAAACAATTTACAATACTCGCTAATACAGTAAAAACACTTTACAATACTTGTTAAAGCAATAACAATGCTTAACTAAACTTGTTAACACAATTAAACTTCCCTGCAAAAATCGTTGGACCATGTAGTCTATTTGTAGTAAATTGGAGTACTTACAAAAGTATTCCTCTGTCAAGCTGTAGCGGACAAACTCGTGTCTCTGCGCCAGCTTATTGTTTGTTATCCGATCACTGCTCGTGTTTTAACGAAATGTGATTGAAGTTGAGCATTTGAAAGCACATTTGCATGTCTGGCTGTAGCTGAACGTGTAGAGATGCTCGCTGTTAGTTCTTAGCTCCCAGCATGTTCGGGTTCGAATGCGTCAGAGGCAACACGTAATTTTTAATTTTTGTCTTGGTTTTTATTAATTTCGAAAAAGCATTTGAGAAGTGAAGAACAAAAGCGTGTACAAACGAAAATATATAACAGCAATGCCATTGTTAATATGTTGTAGTAGTTTTGTACTACTCTAATGTAATGCAGGGATGGAGTATATGGTCCTGCCCTAGGACATCGGAATGTTAATTGTCCCATATTCTTTATATGAATTGTGGTTAATTTTGGAGTACTCCTTGGTCCTTAGAGTGTACTCTTCATACGCATGCATGGAGTAGTCGCGATTTTCGCAGGGTTATAGCTTGCTTATTCGCAACTCACTTTACTGGTAGCTTCCTGACTTGTAACTAACTCAAGCCCAAAATACAATAACGCAGTGGCAGTGGCAGTGGCAGTTTTTCGAAATCAGCTGTTTTTTAGAAAGTGTGGTGTCCAATGAAGCGACTCACAATACAGCAGTGGCAGCTGGCAGTACTGCTCAGTTTAGCCCAAATTCTAAATTCACTGCCACTGCCTTCATCGCAGTAAACTTCGCATGCAGAATTTGACATAAATGAAACGCAGCCAACATCTGTTGATGTCACTGAAGCCTAAAAGGCAACAACAAAAATGTAAACAAACAAAAGGGAATGTCAAAAAAAATCAGTCACTGACAACGCCGTATTGTGTTTTCTACGGCAGTGACTGCCAATATTAGCAGCTGATTTTAAAAACTGTCACTGCCACTGCCACTGCGCTATTGTATTTTGGCCTTCACTCAGGTGTCTGGTGGAGCCCTTATATACCTGCGCTCGCACTCATGGCAACTCCAGAACGTTCTGAAGTTCATCGCTCTTTCTCTTTCTCTCGCTGTTCGCACTGTTCATCCACTTGACGATTTCTCATTGTGGAACATTCTACGTCATTCCTCGAACATTCTGCTTATTTCTCGTTGTTCGCTTTGTGTTGCCGCAGTATTCGCCACAATAAATTCCCCTTGATTCTGTAATTTTCTCGTTCGCTTTGCCGTATTATTCGCCACAATATTTTCGTTCAATCGTAGTCGTTAATATTTTCATGGTAGAAAAGGCAAAGCATTCCCTATTTGCTACTGGGATTGTGTGCGGGAACGAAAGGCTCTTTTTTCCAGCACCTACTACTGGCTGATAGCACTGGGTTTACAAAAACAAAATAACGTACGAAAATTGCGAACTGACGAAGCAATGAGCTTGGCGTGAATACGGCTATTGTTGTATTTTCGTTAAACACCATTATCGGTAACGTAAGAAAATGTAACCCTGCAACAACGTTATTTACAGCTGCTCCTCTCAATGCGAGAAATTAAACAATAGATTTGGTTAATTTATTTAATTGGACGAATATAGTACTTGATTTGCGATAAGCGTATTATATACCCGGAGCTTGCGTAATCTCCCGTCAAGACGCACTTATAATTATCAACAATGGACTTCACGGACAAAGTGGTGCTAATCACGGGAGCCAGTTCTGGCATTGGAGCCTGTACTGCCGTAAAATTTGCCAAATTAGGAGCCCTGCTCGCACTGAATGGACGTAATGCAGAGAACCTACAAGCTGTTGCAGAACAGTGTGCCGCTGTTGGCAAAGAACCTTTCCTGGTTGTCGGAGATATTTCTAAGGAAGCTGACGTGAAAAATGTTTGGCAAGAAACTTTAAAAAAATACAACAAACTAGACGTATTAGTCAACAATGCTGGCATCATCGAAATAGGTAGTATTGAAAATACCAACCTGGCACAATACGATCGTGTGATGAACACAAATCTACGTGCTGTGTATCACCTAACAATGTTGGCCGTTCCGGAGCTCATTAAATCGAAAGGAAATATTGTTAACGTTTCAAGCGTAAATGGTATACGTTCTTTTCCTGGAGTTTTGGCATATAATATCTCTAAAATGGGCTTAGATCAATTTACGCGATGTATCGCCCTGGAACTGGCCCCAAAAGGTGTACGCGCAAACTGTGTTAATCCTGGTGTCATAGTGACTAATATACATAAACGCGGCGGCATGGATGAAGAAACGTATCAAAAGTTCTTGGAACATTCAAAAACAACTCACGCTTTAGGTCGTGCTGGCACTGTGGATGAAGTTGCAAATGCTATCGCCTTTTTATCCAGTGACTTGGCTTCGTTCACAACTGGTACGAGTTTGTCAGTAGACGGTGGTCGACATGCTATGTGCCCTCGATGAGGTGACCAATTATTCAGAACAAATACAACGGCGCATTTACAAATGTATATACACTTTATGGCTAGATAAATTGTTATTTTATGAATATACTTCGTTATTTAAAATACAAATACTGCATCTACTAAATTATCCACAAGTTAGTTTTGTAAATTCAGATAGAACTTTAGCTGTATTTGCACGTTCAAAACACTCATAGGTTATCAAAAATCACTCAAATCAAAAACTAAAAACGATGCACCGCAAAGTAAAAACAATAGTTGTGTTTGTTTACTCATTTCTAGTTAAATCCAGGAAAAGTTTTACGAATTTTCATGTTTTGGCGTCTTCGTTCGCAAAAACATGCAATGTAAGTGAAATTTGAGAGAGCGAAAAATGACAGTTGAAGTTGCAAGTTTTTCTTGTAAGAATTTGCTTGTACGAAAAATAGCTGATCGCATGGTGCTGGTTGAAATTTAAACTAATAAGAAAACGTGTCGGTTTTTATTGTTGAATTTCACAAAATAAACTTGTGTTTTATTAGGAATGTGCTGCAAATAAACAACAAATTTATCAGCTGTTCATGAAACTTGCAATTTATTAGTTGCGATCCCGTACGATTCCGGAATAGTCAGAATCAGTCAGATTTTACTGGAAATCGATTCCGTACTCGGTTCTCTGACTATTGAGAGGACAAAAAAGAGAGTAGATACGGTTCCCTCTCTGTCAGAAGTTACCAGTTTTAGTCCGAGAATTTTTTGCTGGTAAATTCTGGTAAATGTGTCAAACGATCAGCTGTAGTGCGTTTGGCAACCAAATTGTAAACAAAAGAAAAGTGCACTCTGCTAATTCATGTTGAAAAGTATTTAATTACTTGTTTAAGTGGATTCTAATGAATTTGAAAGTATTTTTGGTTATTTACATGTGTGAGCAAAAATTTACATCCAAAATTTGGAGGTTATGTTGAAGTTGACAGAAGTTACCATTTTTTACTATAAAGCGATCCCGTACTTTTCAGTGTTACTCTCTCGCTCTGAGCGAATTTTTAGTTTTTGACAGTTTTACTAGTCCGAGTCCGAGGAATACGGGATGCACCCAAGAATGATAGAATACAAGATTGCGCCGTCCTGGGCGATGACATTTGTGTACCACAAGTAAACAAAGAATAGAGCGAAAAGAAGACCGAGTTGAAACTGCCAAAGCAGTTCACTTTACAGCGAAGAACGTGTTTTAATTTTGCTAAATGTGAAAATATTGCATTTTTCACCTAATCTATTAGAGAACAGTGAACATTTTAGCGCACTCCATTGCTTTGCAATTGAGGCTGCTTCCGCAAAACGTTTTAGTGCACTCCATTGCTTTGCAATTAAGGCTGCTGCAGAAAATTGCAGCAGCATCTCTGCGGAATTGATTAGTTAACTTGCTAATGGAGGCTGCGTGGAGCAGAAACAAAATCATTGTGAGGAAATGCTGGTAATATAATAATAGAGAAACATTCCGGGAACGGCTTTGCCGTACCCTATGTACTCAAAATGCAGCGATTCGTCCCAGCGCTACACTTGCATCTACGCTTCTTGCATTTTGACGACTGTCGCAATTTAACACGCAGCACTTCATTGTATTGGTTTTTACGCGTCTTCAACTCAAAAATCACTCACAAATTGCAAATTAACACGATTTAAACTGATTTTTCACTTATAATTCAAATTACTCTTTCGCTGATTTGTAACAAAAAGTAAAGTTTACTTACAAGTTACCACAAATGTCAAAATCGGCGAAACCAAAGTAGCGGTACCACTGACGGCGCCACCTTTGTTCGCTGCACCGTGGGATGCACCTATTACTGGATTTGCGTTCGCGTACTTTTTTGGTAATTTTTCTATGAGCGAATTCTTAGTGCTCTGTCACATGGTCAGTAATTATCACGATAATTTGATCGCGATCCATATTGATGGATTGATGGATCGCGCACGAATGCTACATGTTCAATATATATCGCGTC